AGAGAAGGCCATCCATAGATACCTTACAACACTTTGCCTAGTAAATAAATACATATACATATATATGTAAAATTATAATTTCATAAGTTTTTATGGAAGACCTCGCATTGAAGGATATTGAAAGAGCAATGTGGTCCAAATTTAGTAGTCTTAACTTACTTGTCAAACGTTTATTATTTTCTAGTTATTAGTCTTTGTCGACATAGAAATTTGTGATTTCATAGGGTGCGGTCTAGAAGATGGATCTCTTTGTTTCAAATTCTTTATACTTGATTTAATAGCGACAAGTTTTCATCATAAATTTTTTTTTAATCATTTTGCATTGCAACCCTGTTATGTATTCGGATCCAAACAAATAGACATATGTGATCCAAATTTAATAAGGCCTGTTCTTATGCCAAGTTATTATTATGAACAAATTTTCATCAAGATGTATGGAAAATTAGCCCTTGTTACCATATGAAGATTCAGTTTCTCTGGGCAAGGGGTTCATAATATCGTCCCATCCGGTCAAATGTTTTCACACCAATTTAGAATACTGAAACGTTACTACTAAGCAATTTTTGTCTCGAAATTCTCTATATACTAAAATATTTTTCATATAAGGTCTTATCAAAATAAAGTGTTATTTAGGGTCCTATCCCTACCATTTTCAATAACTTTTCTCTTTAGATCAAAACACTTTAGAATATCTTAAAAACTGATGTCAGACGGACAGAGAGACATATCTCGGGCGGACAGAGGGACGGAAAAGTTTACATCGATTTAGAAAATGTTTCTGAACCGATTGGTATAACACAAAGTGGATATATTTCAAGTGGTTCTGGGTGTTACAACCGTACGCGCAACCTTAATATATACCTGCACCGCAACTGATGCAAGGCATAATGAGTAAAAACATCAAGGTGGGTCACAGCTCACCATTAAATACTCTGCATACAATGACTATTAAAAATGATGCGTTATATGAGAAGTGGACGACGAAAAGATCCGCCTCAATCGTTTTCAGTAGCGTTTGTCCTATGGCCCACACCACGTTAGTGTGCCAAATTTTACCCAAATATCTCAAAAATTATGGCCTGCAGGTTGAATAAAAGAAAACTAGTTGGACAGATGGACAGAAAAGCTTAGATCGGTATAATAAAACGTGGGTGTACGTACCTAAACTTCTTCGATGTATTTATTGCATACATACGCACAAACTTAAATGGACAGATGGACAGAAAAGCTTAGATCGGTGTAACTTTTTCAGTGTATTGCATACACCCGCACAAAACTGAACATACCCTTGCAAAGCAAGCAGTATGTAATTCATTAGCTTTCATAAACAAATAAACAAACAGTATCTCGAATATTTAAGCTGAGGGCATTTCCGTTACAATTACACGTAAAACTTTTTTAATATGCTCGTTATATTTCGTTATTATTTTAATAACAATTTTTGATTAAAATTTACGGAGTAATTGAAATGTTTATATAACTATTCTTCAATTTTCATATTTTTATTAAATTATCATGCAATAATATCTGTATTTACTCTGGCAATTTAAAATGTTTTCATACAATGAAGAGAACAATAGTTCAAAAAAAAAAAAATTTGTAACAAGGAAGATAACTAAATCATTCATATATTTACATGTTTGTTTGATTATGCATTGATTCACATTTCAAATTTAGCTAAATTAAGCGTATGCCTTAATTGTACGGGAAGTGCATTTGACTTTTAATTAGGTCGTTATCATAAATAGCTTAGTGCAAAAGTGTGCAAAGGCCTAAGTTGCATGACCTTTATTTAACACGAAAATAACATTAATATACACAATGCGGTTAGAGGACTAATAACTAATTTATAAAATGCATTTATCTTGTTTCCCCGTATACCCGTTGCAACTATGAAAATGAACACATGATTTATGGTTTCTTTGTGGTTGTTGCCATACTTTTCACCCTGCGAATCTTAAAGCTGATGAATATATCTACGAATGATAGTCTAATTAATACGAATTTTTATGATAAACAAAATAAGTAATTAGAAACGTTACAGTTAGGCAAGATTGATTTTAAAAGCACCCTACATCACTTCGATTAATTGAATTTTTTATTTATTTTCATCACAAAATAAAGAAAGGCTTTGCATTCCCCGAGCAAGTATCTATGGTATAAGGCACGAAACGTAGACCTGCATAAATCCTACTTTAACAGTAACTTTCATCATTAAACACTAAAGGTTACACTCTGCTGTCAATGTGCCACCAAAATGTATTGCAATGAGAGAGAGCGTTAGAGGCAAAAATTATTCCTTCGACTTAAAAGTTCCACATTCAGTAATATGCGAAAACATTATTTTTCATCGACTTGCGTTGAGACCTTTCTCAAATAGCTTTTTGAAAATGATACAATGATTCAAACCATTTTCAACAGCATTCGTTCTTAAGCCAAAGGAAAAGGTCTTAATTGTAAGGACAGGCATCCGACAGGACACGCAAAAAGACAAACAACTTTAAATCGATTTACAAAATGATTTCAAATCAATCGGTACAATACAAGGCGGGTGTACTTTAAGCCAAGCAGCAAAATGTTTTCCGATATTCTTACGTGGGGCATTATATTACAATAGTTAAACCGTTTACCGATTAAATTGGGACTTGGATAATTTGTTTTTTTTTTTCCTTGATTAGCTTATTGGTGACGAAACTTGCTCCTTTGGCAGCAAATATTTCCTCCCTGCTTTCGTATCGGAAAGATGTTGCAAAGTGTACAACAATTTCTATACACTACTCTATGATGCAATTCTGCTATGTGTTATGTTATTCAGTGCATGCAGTTCCCTTTGGGTTTTTTATTCTTATGCACTTTTTCATTCGTAAGAAAGTCTTTTAAACAATCAACATTACATACATTTGCATTAACTTAATATACTCTTATCAAAAACGTTTTAGGGTAGAAATCATATTATGTTCTAAAGATATTTTCAAGATGTCTTGGCGGGATTCTCTCCTCACCACTGGCGAATGCCACGTTTACGAAATTAGGAACGTTATAAAATGCTTACATTCTTAAAGGATGTGAGGAGCTTCTAAATCGACAAAAGAAAGCTATATTGTAAGAACTGCTACTCATCTTAGCCGAGTAAAGAACTAAATTTTAACATCGTACTCAGTTTATATGCACAGATGAAGTTTGGAAGCAAAAGCTTTTCCACAAGTCTGTAGTCACGGAGATGTTAAGAAAACTTAAATTTTTGAACATTGCTTTCAATAACGTAAATCATTAAGCGAATTCGGGCGAAAACCTGTTATATATATTCGCTTCTAGGTCACTTAAAAGATATTTATACAGACGGGCTTCATTAGCTCACTGATTGCTTAATAAAAAAAAGATTGGTTTGCAAACATTTTCCAAGTAAGGTGCACGCAAGCGTTAAGTTCAACCTTTTGCTCTGTTCCATTTATATGAAATATATGCAATCGCAAGACTTAGACAACAGGATCAGGTAAAGACAACATTGGAAAGTGTACTCGTTAGATACCCAAAGGCGATGTGTGTATAATTCCAGTGGCATTAGTTTAAATTTTTTCTTTTTCTTTTCTCTATAACGTACTCGCACGATGGCAGTGAAGAGGGTTGGCAGGAGGGAGTGGTGTACGTTTGCCTTCACAGTTGAAAAATCAGGCGTAGCGGGAAAGATCACTGCTGGAAGATTGGTGCAGAGGAGGGGGGGAACTGTGATTAAAGAACGACAAGTCACCAGAGTCTCTCGTACGATATGCAGGCGGTTGAAAGATGAGTGGATGGAAACGCTGAGAGGGCCTTGTGGTGCTAATAAACGACTTAATTGGTGGATATATCTCTTTTATCTCTGTAGAATGGTTGCCCAGGCTGCGCCTATACACAAGCATTACACAGCTCACATTACGCCCCTGTTCAAAGATATCGAGAGTTTTGGACACATTTCCATCACCAATGAGTACCTAAACCTTTCGATGTATGTGATCGAGCAAAAGCAAAGAAGAAGTTCGAGGTTACACCCACATGCGAATTAAATACAATTTGTTTTTAATTAATATCAACAACTGCATAACATTGAACGATAGATTTTAATCAGTTGTTAAGCTTAATCAATATGAAGGATCATCTAATGATTCTTTTTAAAATCTTGCTATACATTTGACCGATGGGACGAATAAGAGATTTGTCAAGCACGGCTTCGTCAACGTAGTCAACTTTAGATGGAAGAGATAGGCGGAAACCAGAATTTTCATTTGAAAATAAATGATTTTTGCCTTTTTCCTATATTGATGATAAATTGTCTTCTTTTTTTTTTTTTAAAGAAGCAAAGAGACCAAGATTAAATTGCATAAAATTTTAAAATTTTAAAAAACAAAAGGGTGCGGCTGTCACGCTGCCTACAAACTGAGAGAGCAAAATATAATGCTCGCTCACTCCTGGTCACGTGTATAAATATTCAATTACCCTAAGCGTTGCCTGCGGATTATTGCAAAACGCTCTACTCGTGATTTTACTCTTTATTTTTCAAAATATAAAAATTCAAAAAAACCGAGAAAAAAGTTTTTAACAAAATTGTCTATAAAACTTTTTATATGAAGGATAAAAAGGAGAAAATATTTATTTTAACAGAAAGGGTAGAGAATTTGCTCAACGAAAATGGATATGAATGAAAAAAGATGTGCGCATATCGCTATATAGAACACAACTACTACATGTATATAGTTTATCAAACGTTTTTACACGAACAAGAACACATACGTACATATACAAAACATACACACACACACGCACATAGCCATATATACAATTGGTGTGTAGTATTTTTTTTATTTAATTTTTTTTACATTTATAATAACATCAAGAATGAAAACTCATTTTTATGTATGAATGTATATATATATATATACATAGGTCTGCGATAGGTTTGAATTCGAGTAAAAAAGTATTGTTCCGCCTGGCTGGATAAAACTGATATTTACCAAGTTCTTTACCTGCTGTGCCCATATTCAATATGCTAATCTCTCCGAAATAGGAACCTGCCTTCAATGAAGCCATCACGGTTTTACCATTATCAGCTACCACCTGCAGTCGTCCGCGATTGACAATATACATCTCTTTGCCCACTTCTCCTGTAGCGCAGCGCAGCCATGTGTGTTTGTTCGTATCGTAATGCCCAAGAGTACATGAGTGTCCGCCAAAATGTATACATATGTGTGGCGTTAAAGGTGTTTGTTCGTGGGTTATTTTTACGGTATTCGTTCAGTGAGTGTTTGGCAGAGCGCGGGTGGTAAGATGAATTATTAAGTGGTTTTCAGTTTGTGGTTGTGAAGGTAACGTTCGTTGATTTATAATGTTTGCATGTGTGCAGATGTGTATATGTTCGGAGATCAATTCGTATAATAAGAAAGTTTTCATATATATATATATATAAAAAGTTATACACACACATACCCCACACACACACACAAACATACACACACACACACACACACACACAGATTACATTCACACAATTAAAGGCGATAGGAAATCATGCAGAGGAAAGAGAAAGAGAGAGAAGGGGGGGGAGAGAGAGAGAGAGAGAGAGAGAGAGAGAGAGAGAGAGAGGGAGTCAATGGTTTGCCGGTTGAATGTTTTATTTAAAATGTATTTGTTTTTGTTGTTATTGTTTTATTTTTCGTACAATCAATTGGGAGTTAATTTCATTCCGTAAGGGATAGAAGAGATCAAAGGGAGAGTTTGCGGTTAACGTTAATTTAACAGAAATTCAATACATGCCGTTACACAAATCGTTGGTTCGTACGTTCGTTCGTTTTACAAGACCAACATCCATTCAACCCCCGCCAACGACCATTATAAAGTAAATTCGTTTAACACCATGGCGAGTGTTAAGTTGTTTGAATGTTTAATGTTTCAGGTGTCAATGTTTCATACCACATGGGCAAACACATATACACGTACGCACACATGCATACACAAGCACATAAAATTACATCAGGTGTACGTTTATATGCAAATTTTTTTTTTTTGTTTTTTGTTTTTTGTTTTTTTTTTTTTTTGAAGAACATTTTTGTAGATTGTGGTTATGGTTGCGGTTAAGGTGATATGTTGTTTCATCAGCCGTTATCCAACATTCGTAACAATTTGGTAGCAAATGGTATTTCGGTGTTTATTGTTGTTATTGCAAATATCACCAGATGCCAGGATATGCAGTTAAAGTTCAAGTATTTAAATGAAGAAAAAGCAAAATACAAGAAATTTTATAAAACAAAAAAAAAAAAAAAAGAAAACAAAATATTTGCAAAATTTTAAGTTATTTTGATAATGTAAAATAAAAGAGATAAAATCAACAGCTAATGTAAGAGAAAAAGATGAATAAATAACTTACCTTTACGGCATATATAATCACCAGGTGAGAATAATACTGGACGCAGTCTTAGCACCAATTCGCACAGGAAACCAGCTTCGGTGTTTTGAAATATTTCAACTCGCTTAAGTGTATCTAAATGGACGTTAATTGCTATTTCAGCCTATTGGAAAGGAAAAGTACACATTTCAACACAAAAACACGATATTTAACCAACAAAACTCATTTATTAAATTAATTATGGTGTCGGCTAGAAAGTACGTTACTTCAGATGAGTGCATAGTAAGTAAGTTCTAAGGGTTTCCATTATGCATTCAACGTTGAATACCAATCGTATTTCAATATAGACAAGTTTTGTTTTTTTTTTTTTTGTTATTGGACTCATTAACTTTCTTTCTTTCTTAAATTCTTTTAAATGGCTTGAGGATAGCTTACGATATTTCTTTGAGACACTATTTTACTTTTCGCCACCAGCATGTGATTTGGGCTACATTTACCGACAATGGTAACGACAGTTGGATGGAGAAGTCTCATAAGTCCGTCTAACAATGTAATGCTGATCAAGAATACATTACAGTTTGGTATGTATTCGTGAAATAATTATAAAAAGAATTGCTTTCTGAGAGTGTAAAACATCACTTAATAAATCTCCTATCTGACATATATATGGCAACACTGTTGGCAGATCACATATGATCTTTAGATAATACAAGCCTTCAAACGATATGTTTCGTGATGTTCTGGTTCTATTAGTTTACAAGTTGGTGTTAGTGAGTCGGTGTTGATAACTCAGAACTGACAATGCAACACTGCATTCTAGAGCCGAATACGCAGTCAGTCAAGTGGGCAGCAAATCCACAAAAAAGTGCCGTCACTAATATAAATGCAACTTGTAAAGAATGTTATGAAATTTTGACACATGTTGTTTGAAGATTGATACTATCCAGAAATCCTATGAATCGGTCAATAGTGTTGGCATACTTGTGTCAGGCCTAAAACGAATTGAGTGATGTCATAAGTCGAAGGAAAACGAATAAAGGAACTGTCGCCACAGAAACCTTAAAGAGTTAAACTTACTCTCTATTTGCAAGCTCATCACCTAATTTGAATTTTATTTTCTCTAATACAAAACAAACTAAGGTAAGATAGTTTATTAGAATTCATTTTTGTGTAAATATTTAGACAGATTGGAAAAAAAGCAAGGGATGCGAATTAATGAATAAAAAAATAACTGAAGGATATAACAAAAGTTTTATTCGCTTTAAGGCGAATCTTTGTTGCACTTCTCTTCAAATGAGTGCATAAAAATGTTGATGTGGTCTCCTACTTGCGGTGATATCATCTTCCTTGAACATAAGCATTTTCAGATCAACGTATAAAGAGCAAAATTTTTTTTTTGTGAATTTCAAATGTGGACTTAGTTCACTTATTTTTTGCATTAAGCTCGTAGATGGATATTTTTATCGGCTACATCTTCTAAATTTTAATGTCCGTATATTTTAGTTTGCGGTTATGGATAAAACGGTGGTCTACACGTTCATCGAAAATATATGAAGTCTATGATGTGTACTTGCGTTGACTACAAGCACAAAGCTAAATTCAGTCTATCTCAGTACTGCATTGGCGTTTTCACTAAGAAAACTGTAACTAGTAGTAAAAAGAGCATCAAATGTATTATTCATGGGGTAGTTGATAAGAAAAATTAATGAATAAATCATTGCTCATAAAATAATACTTATTGGACAGCTTCTGACATAAAATTTTACTATCTATTTCGGCGCGTACGCTATTGAACTTAGCGTTTGCTGTTTTAGCATAGCTTAGGTTGCAATTAATGAAAAAAGGATGGGTGAATAAGGAGATGAGTCTAGCCGTTGTCTAAAATACCTGTAGATAATTTTACTCTAATGTCGTCCAATAATTTATGAAGCTCATTGACTCCCTGACAGGTGTACACCAAAAATCTAGCACATCCACAGTAACCATTAAAAACTTTTGCTTATAAATAATTTAAAATTGATACTTAAAAAAATGGCTTTATGTTCATAAATATATTAATAGGTTGCACTTCGGTTAAACAAAGTTAAAAAAAAAAAAAAAACGCTTTAACTTAAATTTTAAAAAAGAAAAAAGTTATCTACTTTTAAGCTCCGAATTAAAATATCTTTTTCTTGCCTACTTTTAAGCATGATAATAAAAAATTAATTGCTAATTGAATTTAAGTTATGAAAAATAATTGACTTAATTGACCAAATGCTTTTTGAATATTGTTTAAATTTTATTTAAAACACATCTGAAAAGCTTAAATTAATTGCCACAAAATGTTGGTTGGACAGGGTTTAGTTTTGGAGTGGAAGAAAATACCACTGCATTGCAAGCAATCGCTAAAATAAGATTTTTTTTTCTTTCTTGGATCACCGGATCCAAACGTTTATCAGGAAACGTTATTTGTTGTATTGCGCGTGTTGTTGCATGAAATTATTCACCAGAATAATGCACACACATCTTTTTATTGCATCAATCATACTTGGCCTACACGAACAGTGACAATGGCAGTCCGCAATAAGTGGGAAGTAAGAGATAAGGTGCAGCCGCAGTCTGGGAGATGTGTGCACAAAAAGTGTTATGCCCATACGAATTGAGCAGTCATTACAACTGAGACCACACGTCAATCGCAATTAAAACATGGTCTGCCATTCTGAGGACAGAACCTAGATACGCCGACTTGATAGTCGCACTTTTTAACCACTTGGTTAAGCAGGAACATATAAGACCATCTGACTAGTAGCTGTTCAACTGAAACTCAAATTGTGCTCCTAGGATGTTGCAAATCCAACCAAACAATGAACTTTTCTTTAGGTGAAAGGAAACTAGTTGAACACCTTACGAATAAATTCAACAACGTTGTCCGTTAACCATTTGGGAAAAGTAACCATTGGTTTCAATTTAAAAGTCGTATTTAAACATACTACCAGACGATAAACTACCCTTCGATCTTATTTAGTGTTAAGACAGATATTGAAAGCACAGCAGGATCTGCACAACTCTAGATTAATTCACAAAAAAATATTTAAAATGTGAGCGTATATCGTACAGATTTTTTGTTTAGAAAATTTTCAAGATCACAAAAACAAAATTATATAGTATTGCAAAAAGTGCTGTTCACCTTCAGCTCAATGAAAATTTATATCTAGACTTTTAAAGCTGTTCAGAAAAACACTTATTGCTGAGTTATGTCATAAGGGCGGAAAATCATTAGAAAATCCTGGTATATTCTTTTTTGACATATTACTTATCGATTTTCATCAGGTCCTATTTTTTTTTTTACAGAAGTTTTGCAAAGCGATCGTTTCGTTGGATTGACTCGTAATACAAAGCAAACTACTAAAAATTTGTTGTCGACTTTAATCTCTCGCTTGACCCACTTCATGATTGCTTGAGTTTCGGATTAATATAATATGTTCATTCATTTCATTTGTTGAGCACGACTTTTCATGCAAACTAAGCACGAAAAGTAACAAAGTAAAGGAACTTTTTTTTGCAACATAACTTGTAACGGATCGCAAACACTTATTACGGTATTTTTGATGGCGCAAGTTATGTCTTTCTTTAAAAAATCTTTAAAGTGTACTTATGTACCTAAGAGTTTCGGAAACTTCTGGAAGATAAGAGAAAGAATGTAAAATGGTATATCTCAACTCTATGCTGATAAGTATAAAATGCCCATAACTTAAGAAATTAATGAACGAATTGTTTTATAAACTGTTAGCTCCTTCTGTCACAGCATAATGGGAATGTTTTACTTTAAGCTAAAGTAAATTTATTACCTTTAATTTATCAGGAAGACAGGATACGGCACGCTCCTCATCGGAACATTTTTGTGTTAGCCACAGATAGTCGAACCATTTAATAACTTTCACCTGCAAGTGATTCGGTACTCTTCGCATACGCATATACGTCTTAACACCATCAAGTTTGGCTAAAATAGAAAAAACAAAACAAAAAAAACAAAAAAGAATATAAAATATTTCTGACGAGATTTACTTACTATAGGAGATGGTTGAAAACATTGCAAAATATATCGACCGTTTTGGAGCACACATGACATATGGTCGGCAAAAAAACTACTAAAATAAATGTGTCCAGCATTTTCGACTCGTATCAGTCAATGGCTTTTTGTTTTTACTTGTTTTTACTTTTTGCCAATTGATATTTTGTTATAGTCAATTGATATTTTGTGTGTGTGCAGTGCACAAAGCCGCGCATTACTTTGTAATACGTATGATTGAGTGCAAGTGTGTTCGAAAAGTGAAATTATTTTCGCCAATTTTGCTATCAATTCAATAATAAAAGCAAAAAACATTTGCATCACAGTAGTGTTTTAGTGTTTTATGCTCTTTGCACTTACATGTGCGCTATAGAAATTGAGAAAAAAACACAATGAAATAAAATGAAAAAAAAAAAGTGCAGGGAATTTATGTGTACAGCTCTCTGCAACTAATGGAATTTATTTAAATCCATGTTGTGCTGGAATGGAAATTCAGTTATGCGTGGATAGTGAAAAAAACTTTAAAGCCTTAGCAGTACACGCGAACACTTTTTATATTGTTCTATTTATTTATTTTTTTTTTTGTTTTGTTTTGTTTTAATTTTAATTTATATAAACAAAATTAACTTGTTTACAGTAGAGCAGGATAAGCAAAGATAAAACTCCGCAGTTTTAAACAATTTTTTACAACAATTTTCAGACAATAGAAAAACAACTTTAGAAAAAAGTTTTCGTTAGTCCTATTAATCTTGAAAAAAAAAAAATGAGTTTAAATAAAACAGAAAGCAATTTTGTAGACTGAGAATATTGACCGGACATAATAAAACCTAATGATGTTCGAAGCTATTTCTTTGACTCCTAGATTGACGGTACGGTAGAAAGTGAGATAGACGCAACAATCAATTCAAAATCATTTTCTCAAGCCAAGCCATTCATTCACGTCTGTCCGTCTGTCCGTCTGTCCGACTAACGTTTGTCTATGCAAAAGCTTAAAATTGCAAACTTTAAAGATTAATCGTGTTCTACATACGGACATGCCAAGTACAATAGGTCGAAGAGAATCGATCAGTTCTAACTTCCACATCCCATGTGGAGATAAAAATTTTCCAAAAAAATTCGTAAAATACAGTATTTCGATAGATTAAGTGATGAAAGCAGTAAAATGTAGCCATCAGTTATTGAACCCATTCCCACACATAAAGCTTCTTGTAAAAAATAGATCTGCCTTTATAGAGCAAAAAACGATTATTTCGTGATGTATATTTAAGAGTATTTTATGTCTGAGATGTGATTTTAGATACAACTTTACTGTACCATATTTGGACCACATGGGTATATATTTGGGACATATTTTTTTATAAGGAATGTCGTGTAAAACCTTTATATAGCCACAAGGTCTAATGTTTAATGTTTTATGAAAAAGATAAGACATTGTCGGAACAGTAACAGTTTGTTTTTTTTTTTTAAGTAAAGTGTCAAGGTGCAGGCCTTTACTTTGGTTAACAGACCCTTTCTGCTAGGAAACCCGCGTATCCATTTGAAATGAATGAAGTATTATCCATATCAAGAATAAGAAACGTATGGCGGAACAGAGATGCCTAACGAGTGTTGTAATAAGAAACTTAACAAAATAGTCCAAATTTGACGCATCGAGATACTGAGACTTGTTCAAAAACATTCGCAAGCAGAAAACTTAGCACACAATTTGAGATTGAAGAAAATCATACCCTGCTTGGAGGCAAAAGTAGAACTTGGTAGAATCATCCGCCTGAGTGGCCGATTAGGCAAAGAATGTCGATTTACAGCTCAAGTGCGGTAGAGTTTTCAATAAAGCCGATAGCCATAGGTGCCAGTGCTTTAAGACTTTAGTTTTACCATTCATTTCTTTGGCTAAACTAATTGTAATAATAATAATAATAAAAAAGAATAATTTAGATATGAAAGCATAAGCATAAAGATTATGGAAATCTTCATGCAAATATACAAATATCCACACATTCTTACACAGTCGACTATTTTTACTTCCAACCAGTTAAGCGATGTAAATGATTATCTTTCTAAAAGCCTCCAACGTTTGTCATTAAGGAGACAAATACTCACTAAGGCACTCAAAGTTATTATTAAGTCAAAATTAATCTGAGTAGAATCATAAATTTTTCTGTAAATTAAAAAAAAAAAATCTTTTATTCTACAAAATTAAAAAAAAAAATAAAAATAACTTAACAGGCCTTTTACTTAGACAACAAAACATTCAAGTGGCAAACAAACGTATAATGTATGGCGCAAAAGTCCATACATATGGTAGTGATAGAATCGCTTAAAAAAAGAAAAACAAAAAAAAAAAACAAAAAACAAAAGAAAGGCAAGGAAAAGAATAGCAAACCATAGAAATGACTGCGCTTTGTCTAGTAAAACTGAGCTCATTTGCTAAATGACACCAGGCAAAAACATGAAAATGCTCAAAAACATGCAACATTTTCATCTATGGATTCATTCGTACGCTCATTCGCTGGCCCATTTTTTCATGCGTTTTTGCATTCATTCATCTATTCATTCTTTCATACATTTGCACAGCGTAAAACCACTGACAACGACAACTAAACCGTTTGAAGAAAAAGGGAAATGAATGTAATTGTTTACACATACACACGCGTTTATGTGGGAGAACCGATGGTACATCTAGGCTCTAAGTAAAATTGCGTCAGGCAACCGAGAAAACATTCGCTAATTGAGCATATTTGTGCACTTAAGTGCGACTGTATAGAGATGTGGAAGCAACGCATTCCAGATGCTTATATAATTCAAATCGCAAGTATATGCAACGTGCAATGTAATGCACGCCAACCAATGACTTTTAATAGCTTGAGGACATTTATGCGCATAAATGATAGAAACCAAAACCGAATGTAGGGAAAATGAAAACAAAAATAAAATGAAAAAAAAAGGCTAAAGTAAAGAAGTTGGAATGCTTTTAAAACGAATCTTGAATACCCTTCACTTTCGATTTATACATAGAAAAAAGGATGCTTTTGCAATTATATAGTTGTGTGAGAATTATTCTAGAAGCGAGGATAAAGGTTTTTAAAATCGATTGGATTGGTTATATCGAGTTTTGTTCAAAAGCTTGACAAAAATACGAGGATAACTATAAACTCGCTCTACAATTTCAGAAACTCTTTGATAAAGCCGATCACCGAATGCTAATCCTCTCAGTTATAAAGATATTTCCTTTCATCCCGAATAAAGAAGCGGAATGTCGCAAAGTCATAGCAAAGCATTATTGAGGAAATTGCTCTCGCAGTAAAGACGATTTATAAGCTCAGGAGCTTTATGTTTGCCGCCAATCATGCAGACTTGATCTGCTTGAACTTGAACTAGGAACCAACTGCGCTTCTGCATTCTATCTATCCAGCTGGAATTGGGACAAGTTCAGCAGAGATGGTCAGAAGAAACTCGGAATCAATGCACTGAGAAAATAAAATCTTTGTTCACTTTTTTGTTTGCATTGACGGGGGAGACAAACTGATAACAAAACGAGAGGACGCTCGACCGAGCGGGCACAAAAAAACGCAATCAAAAAAGTCGAATTAGATTCTTTGCTGATCAAGAATATATTTGCCCTATGACACCTCTGCCGGTCACATATGGAATAACGAAAGCAGTAAACGCGCCTTGCTGATGGATATAAAAATTCAAATCAATTTCATGTGTTTACATCATGGCGTATGATAGCTGTTTGTCGTACATGTGTTGGCGTATGTTCCGTACATGCATGCATGCAAATGACTTTATAATGGAAAATGCTTAACGGCACATATTGTTTTAAAGCCATCAACAAATATGTCATTTGTTACATATATAAAATTTAACACATTCGCTTGTTGTTGAAGCAAAAGTTTACTCTTCTATTTACCAGTTGAACAAGAATAAACTCAACTTTGAATAACAATTTAAAAAATTTTAAAAAAATTAAACAACTTTTATTTGCACATTACCGCATACACTTAACTTTAAATTTATTAAACTCTCAGGTGAGGAAAACTTCTCTTGTAATAACGCAACCTTCGCTAAGACTCATCATTATATAATTTAATAAAATTTATTAATTTCTTACATCAAGTTCATGCCTACATTTCTATCCCCCATTACGGGATTATTTTTCATAAATCAAGTGAAAAGTAACCTAAGACTTTTCATTTTCTTATTATAAGAAAAAATAAAGCAAGGACTGCTCTTGGCTTTATGAAAGCATGGTCGACAGAGTTTGGTCATCCTTATGTAAGAAAAATATTATATATAAGTTTGATGAGGACACTACAGGAATATGCTACCAGTTGCTGGATGATCTTCTTGCTATAGGCTTTATGTTCAATTCAACAGACGCAACTCAGAAATAATATTTGCTTCTTGCGTTAAGGAATTTCAGATGGAATCCGTTAGTCTCCTTGCCATCATTAGTCTATCTTATATTTGGGGAGCAACTACTAATTATATTTGTTATCTCTTCCCTAATTAAGCAGAGGTATTGGACATGCCACCCTCAATGCCCCTAATTGTTTTTCAATTTCAACTTCATATTGATAAAATTGGGCAGACATAGTTAAGAAACCTTTTTAATATATTTCGGGTCCTTTGTAAAAGTTTAGATGGTGTTCATTAGTTAATTTCATTATCGAATTCGTTCAAAACCATCAAATCAATGCTCGCTAATGGGCGAAATCTGCCGAGATTATCTTTACACGAAACCTATTAACAGTTTTTGTTTGCTAGGAATGCAACCTTGCATTACTGAGATTGTTAAGTTCGCGAGCAAAAAGAATTGACAATAGGAGATTTTTTTTTTTTTTGGTTTTGCGTGTTTTTGGGAAGGGGAGATGAAAATATTGGAACGAATGCCTGGACGTTTTAATTGCGATATGAGAAAAATTAAG